GGGGATTAAAGTGGGAGGGGGGGATTAAGGGGGGGGATGGGGAGGGGGAGGCTAATTGAAACTTTCTTCGGGTGAAATTAAAATATGAAATGAATTAGTGCCGGTACAGTGAGTCAAATTGGTGGCAGTGGTGATAGTGGTGCCAGGCCGGGTATAGTGCCACCCTGAGACTGTGGTGGTGATGGTGATGATGGTGGTGATAGTAATGGTGATAATGATGATGATGATGATGATGATGATGATGATGATGATAACTTAACAACATCTCTCTCTCACTCTCCTAGTCTTCCTCACCCTCTCTCTCCAACATTCTCCCTCACCCCCTCTCTCTCCAACACTCCCCCTCACCCTCACCCCCCTCACTCTCTCCCTTCACAAATGCTCGACTAACTGAAATAACAGACTCAGCCACTCACAAGGAACATATAATATACTTTAATATATCAATGTATCTTATGAGTTATTTGAGTATAATGAAAAATATAACCATGTCTCTTATGAGTTTGTGAGAGTATAGTAATTTTGATAACAATGGTGGTGTTATTATCGTTGTTATTATTGTTATTGTTATTATTGTTGTTATTGTTGTTGTTATTGTTATTATTGTTGTTATTGTTGTTATTGTTGTTATTATTGTTATTGTTGTTATTGTTATTATTATTATTACCACTATCACTATTACCATTATCTACCACCGCTCATCACCACCACTCAACACCACCCCACACGACTCATCACCACCCACCACCCATCACAACCTCCACCATCACTAACACCATCACTCAACACCACTATCACCACCACCCACCACCCACCACCCATCACAACCTCCACCATCAATAACACCATCACTCAACACCACTATCACCACCACTCACCACCACCCACCACCACTAAAGCCATCATTCAACACCACTATCACCACCACCCACCACCACCCACCACAACCATCACTACCCGCATACTCTAACGTTCAATTCTAATGGCTTGGAATGGGAATGGGAATTGGAGAAGAGTATTGCTGGAACGGGAACAGAATTTGGAATATTCCCGGCGACCACTAGAGAGGAAGAACAAATATGCTCATAATATCTGAGAATTGTGAAGTGTAGTGGAGGTGATTCTGTGGTGGTGGTGATAGTGTGGTGGTGGTGATAGTGTGGTGGTGGTGATAGTGTGGTGGTGGTGATTGTGTGGTGGTGTTGGTGATTGTGTGGTGGAGGTGGTGGTGGTGGCGATTGTATAGTGATGATTGTGTGATGGTGATAGTGTGGTGATGGTGATTGTATGGTGGTGGTGATAATGTGATGGTAATTGTATGGTGGTCATCGTATAATGGTGATTGTATGATGGTGATCCTCTGATTGTATAGTGATTGTATAGTGATTGTATAGTGATTGTATAGTGATTGTATGGTAGTTAATGCATGCATTTAAACACACCCTCACATCTCCTATGAAGAGAAATTGAATGTGAGTGAACCTTTGAGAGTTGAAATTTTTATATCACATTAAACTTTACTGCTTGCCACTTTCTTAGGCATTTTATGAGCGTTTTTTAAACTCGGTGATGCAAACTTAAGCATCAATCTCGCGTTCTTTGTGTACATGACCGTTTTTTGTGTATATGATCGTTTTTTGTGTTCATGATCGTTTTTGTGTATGTGATCGTTTTTTGTATGTGATCGTTTTTTGTGTATATGATCGTTTTTTGTGTACATGATCGTTGTCTGTGTACATGAATAAGAGAAACGCACATCATCCCAACACACACACACACACACACACACACACACACACACTTATCATACGTACAGACATGATCCGTTCTATCTAACCTTACACGATAAAAAAAAATTACGAACAGAAAACGAGACGCGGTTTGGTTAGGTTAGGTTAGGTTAAATCACAAGAATTAACAAAAGGTGTAGTTAGAGGCGGTGTTGGTCGGTGATTGGGAAACAGACGAGATTAGGGACGTCCATTGAAGCTCAGCTGATGGGGAAATATTGACCTTAAGTGTGATTCTTGGCCACCACGGAAACTATATTTATACCACACGGGGAAAAAAATAACTATTGGTCCTGTAGGGGTCTTAGTAGTCCTGTAGGGGTCCCAGTGGTCATTCAGGGGTCCCAGTGGTCATTCAGAAGTCCCAGTGGTCCTAAGGGGCGTTAAAGAGGAACCCAAATTGATTTTTGTGAAAGATCGGTTAAGCTGTGTTTAAAAGGGATGGCTACTGAGGGCTGATGGATGGCTGGAGAGAAACGTCGGTAATATTAAAGAGGAGGAAGAGGAGGAGGAAGGGGAGCAGGAAGAGGAGGAAGAAAGGAAGACGGAGGAAGAGGAAAAGAAGGGCGGAGGAGGTCGAGGAGGAAGAGGAGGAGGAAGGGGAGCAGGAAGAGGAGGAAGAAAGGAAGACGGAGGAAGAGGAAAAGGGGAAGAGGGAGCAAGAGGAGGTAGACGATAACGAGGTAAAGGAAGGGGGGGAGAATGAGGAGGAAGAGGAAGATTGAGGGAGGAAGCGGTGAGGGATGAGGAAAAGAAGGAACAAGAAGAAGAAGAAGAGGAGGAGGAGGAGCAGGAGGAGTAGGAGGAGAAGAAGAAGAAGAAGAAGAAGAAGAAGAAGAAGAAGAAGAAGAAGAAGAAGAAGAAGAAGAAGAAAAAGAGGGATAAGAAGAGGGTGAAGAGGAAGGGGAAGGGGAGGATGTGGGTGCTTAGTTCTGGCATTTATTTAGTATTAATAACTCTGACTTTTTGCAATAGTGACGTCATATATGTGACTACGTGACTGTGTGTGAGAGAGAGAGAGAGAGAGAGAGAGAGAGAGAGAGAGAGAGAGTGTACCATTAGACAGACAGACAGACAGACAATAACCCCAAATAAACTATAAATGATTTCACTCAACACGACACTAACACAGGTAAGGAGACAACAACTTGCAACACTCAATTCTGATTAGGAAGTTATTTAGTACCGGTGCCAGCAAGGACGATGTAGCCCAGTGCCAAGTGGCTAGACCGTGGCACCCGTCTGGCACTTGGGTCGTGGTATGCTGGGTACTATCATGGGTATATTACAAGGATATATTTAGTATATTGGTTTGTGTTAAGTTAGGTTAGGTTAAGTTAGGTTAGGTTACCGGGACAATAACGACCTGCAGTTAGAGCCTAATTCCGTTGTTAGATATTGGTATTTAAGCTTCTCGTTATAACTTTCCGATATCGTAACGTTGACCACTTCGTGTGGCTGGTGATAATGTTACGATTAACCTCTACACCTGCCCTCATTAACCTCTACACCTGCCCTCATTAACCTCTACACCTGCCCTCATTATCCTCTACACCTGCCCTCATTAACTTCTACACCTGACCTCATTAGCCTCTACACCTGACCTCATTAACCTCTACACCTGACCTCATTAACCCCTATTCACTCGTTACCTTTTCGTGTAATAGTGAAGTCGATCCAGAAGGTGATAATAAAGTCCCTTGATGCTCGTGTTTACCCTTTCTCTCCCCCCATCTCTCTCACCACCCCCATCTCTCCCCCTCTCTCTCACCCCCCTCCTCTCTCTCTCTCTCTCTCTCTCTCTCTCTCTCTCTCTCTCTCTCTCTCTCCCCTTCATTCTCCGTCCGCCCACCAACATGTCGGCAACACGTTCAACTCAGATGGAAAGACGAAACAACAGGGACCCCACAGTGTGAGGAGAGGAGAGGAGAGGAGAGGAAGGAAGGAAAAAGATAGAAAAGAGGGAGAGAGAGAGAGAGAGAGGGGGAATGAATAGAAAAGAGGGAGAGGGAGAAAGAGGAGGGGAAAGGGATAGACGGAGGGAAAGGAAATGAAAGGAGGAAGAGATGGGAGAAAAAAAGGAAGAGAAAGAGAGAAGGATGAAGGGATAGAAGGATAGAGAAAAAGTTTGGAGGAAGAGAGTGAGAGAGGGAAGGAGAGAGAGAATAAGAGAACGTAACGAAGAGAACACGAAAACATTATAATAAAAAATGCAAGAATGCAAAATTAAGAATAGTGGACGAGAATTAGCGGGGGGAGGAGGAGGGGGTGATAGGGAGATGAACGCAGACACCAGAGGGAGGAAGGGGAGGGGAGGTGGAAGATGAACGCAGACACCAGGGGAGGAAGAGGGGGAGGTAGACGGGAGGGGGAGGGGAGCGGTGAAGATGAATGCAGACAGCAGAGGAGGGAGGAGGAAGGGAAGGAAGGAAGGGGGGGGAAGGGAGGAATTAGATGAACATGAACGGCCAGTGCCCAAGGTAATATCTAAGTAAGCTCTTGGAACTGACTATCCGCTCCGACCCTTCATGACAGGAGGTCGAGAGAGAGAGGGAGAGAGAGAGAGAGAGTCACACGGCACTAAAACTCATTATTTTTGGTCCCCGTGTCTCTCTCTCTCTCCTCCAGTCTCACCTCTCTCACGCTTCTCCTCAATTACAGCTTTTTTTCTGCTTACAAACGTTTTTTTTTTCATTTCTGCTTACAAACGCTTTTCCCTTTCTGCTATTAATTTTTTTTTCTGCTAACAAACGTGTCTTTTGTGTATGTATGTATGTATGTATGTATGTATGTATGTATGTATGTATGTATCACAATGTAGGTTGTCAAAGGGAAACATCACTCTCTGAAGGAATAAAACACCGAGTGTGTGTGTGTGTGTGTGTGTGTGTGCACTTACATAAGAAACTACTTACCCCCCCCCCATAAATTTACTTAAGGAAAAAAGTTACAAAAACAAAAGCATTTGACCTTCACGAACAAAAGTATTTACCCAAGAAAGTATTATTTTTTCCACCAAATTTGTTTTTACTGACCAAAAAACACAAACTAAGGCATTATACTTCTACTTTTTTGTGTGTGTTTACAGATCAAAGTTACAAACAAGAAAGTATTATAGTATTTTCTTCCACCTAAAAGTATAAAGGAAGGTAGGAAGGTTGAGTGACGGACACGGACAAGGGGTGAAAGAACGTCAGCGTGTGTACTTACCGAACAAGTAGTGACCAGGTACTGGGGCAGGGTGAGCCTGGGGCGGTGACACTGGGGGAGAGGAGGGCGGGCTGGAGAGGGCTGGTCTGTGAAGGACGGCCCTCAGGGGAGTCCTCTGAGGGGTGAGATGGTCCCTGGATGGTCCTGGAGGAGGAGGGGTGGGGGGTTCCTCCACGCTAAGTTAGGATGTCCGTTCTTCTTCTCCGAGTGAAAATCTTGAATGAAACTTTTGTCTCTAACTTCACGTTCATCCAGGGGTATTTATTTTTTTCTTTCTCTCTCTCTCTTTTTCTCTTTCTCTTTTCCCCTTTTTTCTCCCTTTCTCCTCCGACTGCTTCTCTCTCTCTCTCTCTCCTTCTCTCTCTCTCACAGTTCTTGATTCTCTTTTAGGTTTTTTCTCCCGGCGTTGAGCGGATGAGGCTGGGGGACTCCTGGCGTGGGGGGAGTTATGGCTGGCTATGGCTCACACGCTGACGAAGGAGGAGCTGTTTCTGCTGACTCCACACCCAGCTGGCCAAGGTTTCGTCGGGTGCCAGGCCGCTCGGGGAATGACTGTTGCTCGTAGATGAATAGTTCTGGAGTTGTGGAGTGGTTGATGATGCAGTGGTCATTTAGCGATTGACGCCGTGTTGGGTACTCGTGCAGGCAACAGCGAGACACCAAGCACTGGAAGACGTTGTATGGATGTATTCTGGTTCAGTTAGGGGGACGACGAGTCGCCCTAAGAAAAGGCTGAATGGAAGCCAAGAAGTGTTTGTATTCAGAGGGATTAACTTACTGAAGGCTCGGCACTTAAGGATTTAACTTATCATCATCATCATCATTATCATTATCATCATTATCATCCAAGGTTTCTCTTTATCGATAATTTGACTTAAGAAAATAATGAATGAATTCCAGAAAGTTCAGGTTATTAATATTTATGTCCTGGGTTATGATGGAGCTCCGTGGTGTGTGAGGACCTCGGGGTCAGTAACACACCACACCAGTATTATTTGTGTCCGTCACGGGAAAAACTCGTAACTTATGGACGATTTACACACATACACTCAAAGCAGCGACGAACTATACACACACCAGGTAAACACTGTCTTAAATTGTATCATATACCACTTTCCTACAGGTAAAAGTGATCAGGTTCTATGGAAATTTCAGGGGGGCGTTTCCAAAAGGATTCTGGTAGCGTGTCCGTGAGATTTAGGGGGGCGTGTCCCGAGCTGGATCGTGGAGGAAACGCGTTCTTGAGATACCGTTTGTTGATTATCTGTGTGTAGTGAAGATATTGCTGGAACTGTTTCTGTTTTGTTTTTTTAAAGAATGGATTTTTTTCATTAACTGTTTATAATGTGTTGGATTAATTAATATAATTATTAATTGATTCTAAATGTCTGATTACAACTCGATACCAAAGTTCATTGACTGGAATCTAAACACAGTCTCTATTTTTCTTATTGATGATAGATGTTTAGTTACCATAAACCTCACAAGCCAAGGTGAGGCTGTAGAATTTCCTAGAGGCTCCTGGAAAAAAGTATCCAATTCCTCACAGTGATGTTATAACTGCATATTTTTCCCAGGACAGTTTGCGTCTTTTCTTGTGTATTGGAGACTCACACACACACAGACACAACTACATCCAAGTAGTTATGTTTCCACTTTTTTTTTTTTTGCTACAAAGTTTATGACCGGAAGGAGAAACTGTTATTGGTCGTTCCTGTTTGTTTTCTTGCGAAGCTTAATAATCATTGGTCAAGGTCAGTACAACACTCAAGATGCACCAATAAGGGTTGTCCAAACATACACACATTATAATATATATACAAATACATAGAAACTTGTATATAGCGGCAAGTCTATACAATAATACCACCGCTCTTGTACACCACGACAAATACCTCCCAGGAAGGAGATGAACACGTAGAGAGATGTATCCAGCGAGCGACTGACGGAGAGGACGACGACATGAAGCTTGGCTGTATGAGAGAGTGAGAGTGGGGTGGGAGAGAGCGTCGGGAAGAACTGTCACCACCACCAAGTCTGCCTGCCGACTGCCGGGTTCAGGCGATGGGGAGCGGTTCCCGGCACACTCCACAGCCAGCCCTGCCAGCCCAGCCTAACCCATCCCTATCCCACTCCTAGCCCACCACAACCCACTCCATCATCCTTACCCCCTCTCTTACACTGTAGCCAACCATCTAGCTAACCCACTCCGGCCCACCATAACCCACTCTATCCCTCTTCTCACATTATAGCCAACCATCTAGCTAACCCACTCCGGCCCACCATAACCCACTCTATCCCCCCTCTCATACTACTGTACAACCAGCCAGCTAGCCCACCACAACCCCCCATCCCCTAACACCATAACCAGTCCACCACGACCTTCCCCTGACTCTGCTCACATAGCCCCATAGCCAACCCACCCCAGCTAACTACAACCCACTTCCAACCCACCACAACTAATTCCCCTTAAGTGGCACCAGAGCCCACTTATTATTATTATTATTATTATTATTATTATTATTATTATTATTATTATTATTATTATTATTATTATTATTATTATTATTATTATTATTATTATTATTATTATTATTATTATTGTTATTATTATTATTATTATTATTATTATTATTATTATTATTGTCTTGTTGTTTTTGGTGTTGTTGTTGCTGTTGTTGTTGTTGTTGTTATTTTTTTATTATTATCAAAAAACATCAAGTGTAGGAGTGAAAAAAAAGTCGCTTCGCTTATACTTCGTGAATTTAATATCATAGTCGTTTCTTGTCAGGCCGTGTAAGCACTGGTAGTCATTTGCATACAGATAAGAAGTTAAAAACGTTTGTAGAGTCAGGTTGTGGGTTAAGTTGTAACAAGAGGCTCGTGATAACATACTATTCATGATACTACTATTACTACTACTGCTACTATAAGTGCGACTATTATTTCTTCTTCTACTACTTTTTTTTCTACTACTACTACTACTGCTACTACTACTACAAGTCCAAAAAGTCCAAAACATGCGATAAGTTCCTACCTAAGTCCAAAACATGCGATAAGTTCCTACCTAAGTCCAAAACATGCGATAAGTTCCTACCTAAGTCCAAAACATGAGATAAGTTCCTACCTAAGTCCAAAACATGAGATAAGTTCCTACCTAAGTCCAAAATTACTTTAGTCAACAATTAATTGCAACATTTCATTTCCTGGTGTGTTTACAGTGAGTTGTTTGCAATAATGTGTGTTGCAAAATTGATGCTCTGGTTATATATGGTGAGGGTTGACAGAGAGGGAGAGAGAGAGAGAGAGAGAGATGAATAGAAAGAAGAAAAGGGGGAGGAGGAGAGAGATAAGGGGCGAGTAAGAATGCGTGACAGATAAGAAGGAGAGGAGAACAAGAATATGGGAATAAGAGGAATGAATGAGAGGAGATAACACGACACCAATATCTCTACGGATTATGCACTTCACCTGTTTACAAAATTTCTAAACTCAAAGAAAATGGAGCTTACACACCACGTTTTTACGAGGATAACTAAGTTAATTTTAAGTAAATCAACAACAATATAACACTATGTAATTAACAGGCGATATAACTCACTTGCACGATGACTATAGATGAATATATATCTATCTATTTATTTAACACTATCTATCACTAGAAGGTAAAGATTAGTGATATGTTTTCCAAGGTTTTAGAAAGTTATTACCAATAGATCTTGGCCACTGAAACATCCCAACACACATTAAACTAACACCATTGTCTATCTTCTAGCTAAAAAATCACTATTACATCGCTATGATTCTATTCACTAACATCCTTTTCTAACTTCAGGCCATACAACATCTCCTTTACGCATTCTGACGCCATATAGCAATGCGTAATTGCGTATATACATAAAACCCATTCCCACTATACGCCCAGCCGCTATCCAGCCGTGTTGTTGCCGATACCAAGGTACCGATTTCCGATACGAGGAGAAGGGAGGGGTGTGGTGGTGGGGGGTAGGGGACGAAAGGAAGTGTGGCATTATGGGTATTAGTCATAGGTATGTATCATTGTATGGTGTATGGTAGCCCAGAGGTTGTGTATAATGGCGTAATTGAGCGTGTATGTATGTATGTATGTAGGTATGTATGTATGTATGTATGTATGTATGTATGCATGTATGTATAAGACACGTGCACATCCCATCTATTGGCAAGTGCTAAATATTTTTTTTATTATAACTAAGTTAGATAAATTGAATGCTTATAATGAACGTGAGAACAGACAGCCAGACAGACAGACAAATAGACAGACAGACAAATAGACAGACAGACAAATAGACAGACAGACAGACACAGGTCGATGAGGCAGGACTGGCCAAAACAGGATAGACAGGAACAGCTGATCAAACATGCAGAGAAACATGTTACAGGAGCCTCTACACCTCGCTTACCTACGTTACCTGTATACACCTGACTCACCTACGTTACCTGTATACACCTGACTCACCTACGTTACCTGTATACACCTGACTTACCTACGTTACCTGTATACACCTGACTCACCTACGTTACCTGTATACACCTGACTTACCTACGTTACCTGTATACACCTGACTCACCTACGTTACCTGTATACACCTAACTCACCTACGTTACCTGTATACACCTGACTCACAAAACTTTAAGTTAAATTTTCCTCATAAGTGTAGTAACGTTCAAGATGGCGTCAATATTACACTGAGACTCTACCTGAACTAGGTGAAGAATTTCTCTCCAGCCTCCTCATCTTCTTCATCTCCTTCTCTTCCCTCTCTTTCATCCCTATCTTCTTTTTCTTTCTTCCCCTTTATTCTTATCTCCTCCTTCGCTACCCTCTCCTTCAGATCTCATATCCTCCTTCTCTTATTATTCCTCTTCTTTCTATTCATCGTTTGCTTCTGCTTCAGTCACTCCTCGGTCTTCCTTTCCTCCTCCTTTCGCTATAACTCCTTCAGCTGTCTTTCTCGCTTCTCTTTCCTCTTCTTTATCCTCATCTGTTACTCCAATATCTGCCAAGCATTGCGAGCCTCTTCCCGCACCTCTTCCTCCCGACACCCTTCTTGCACCTCCCCCCGACACCCTTCCTGCACCTCCCCCGACACTCTTCCCGCACCTCCCCCCTACACCCTTCCTGCACCTCCCCCTGACACTCTCCCTGCACCTCTCCCTGACACTCTCCCCGCACTACCCCCTGACACTCTTCCCGCACCTCCTCCCGCCAACACTCTTCACGGATTAGCACCATAGGCTGTCTCAATACGTAAATGTAACATAAGGTGAAAATCGATTCCAACAAAACCTTTTTTTTTCAGATTACTAAAAATAATAACGTGTTTTCTGTTGACGTCATTGGTGTTATGTTGTTAGTGCCTCTGTATTAATTACTATGATTATTTGTGTATGTATA